AATTTACAATTGTTAGAAGAAGACACATACATGAAAACACAGGTGAACTGTTCATCGGAATGCTAAATTTGGAGGAAACTCCATGCGCTACTGTTGATGAATTGTATAACTCTGTCACCACCAGTGTTCTGACTGTTCTGGACGCCATTGCTCCTGTGACGGTTAAAATAGTTACCAGTAAGAAAAAGGCCCCATGGACTAAGGCAGACTCGGTCAGGGCACAGAAGCAAGAGTGCCGGAGGGCCGAACGGAAGTGGCGAAAGTCCAATTTCCAGGGCGATAATGAAATCTTTAAAGATGAGTTGGGTGAATTTAACCGGGTTCTACGAAGAACAAGAGAAATGTATTTTTCTGACATTATTGGAGGTTGCAGTAACAATTTTCGTGTTATGTTTTCAACAGTAGATTAATGAACCCCCCTGTAAAGTTGCCCCTAGAATTTTCCTCTAAATCTAGGTGTAATGAGTTCGCACAGTTTTTCGATGACAAAGTACAAGGAATCAAAAACACTATCACCTCCACAGCACGTATAACAATGCAACAGCCAGAGAAGCTTTTTGAGCTAACTCACTTTGCACCTGTGGATACTGAAACTGTCAAAAAGATAATCATGAGTCTGAGCTCCTCCACATGTAGCCTGGATATATTGCCCTCTAAATTTCTGAAGTCCGTCCTGAGCAGTTTGTTACCTTCACTGACACAAATAGTAAACATGTCTCTGTCGTCAGGAACATTTCCTATGGCCCTAAAAACAGCAGTCATAAGACCTCTCCTAAAAAAGAGCAGTCTGGATCCTGCGGGACTTCAAAATTATCGCCCCATATCGAATCTGCCATTCATTGGAAAAATTCTTGAAAAAGTGGCCTCCCAACAACTTACTGAATTTTTAACAATGAATAATTCTTTTGATATGTTCCAGTCTGGGTTTAGACCCCACCACAGCACTGAGACCGCTCTAGTGAAGGTAACAAACGACATTCGACTTCACACTGATGCAGGTAAAGTCACAGTTTTGGTCATGTTAGATCTTAGTGCCGCGTTCGACACTGTCGACCATGAGATCCTCATGCAGAGACTGGAGGACTGGGTTGGTGTCACTGGCACAGCCCTAGACTGGTTTAGGTCTTACCTGGAGGATAGGAAGTACTTTGTGGAGATTGGAGACTGCGTCTCAGATCATGTGGCCCTGACCTGTGGAGTACCACAGGGGTCGATCCTGGGACCTCTCCTATTTAATCTCTACATGCTGCCGTTAGGTCAGTTAATACAAAGAAACAAAGTGTCCTACCACAATTACGCCGACGACACTCAGATCTATGTCTCACTGACTGCAGGAGAACATGGACCACTGGATTTGCTCCTTCACTGTATCCAACAGATCAGTGACTGGATGCAAAATAATTTCCTCCAGCTAAATGCAGACAAAACCGAAATCATTGTCTTTGGTCCCCAGAAACAAAGAGAGGGCGTCATCTGTCAACTTCAGTCTCTCTCCCTACTTCCTTCAGACAAGGTCAGAAATTTGGGGGTAATACTGGACTCAGACCTAAATTTCAATAGCCACATAAAATCAATAACATCAACAGCTTTTTACCATCTGAAGAACATTGCCAAAGTTAGAAATATAGTGTCCAGGGCAGACTTGGAGATTCTTGTCCATGCATTTGTCTCCAGCAGGCTAGACTACTGCAATGGCCTGCTTACAGGTCTGTCCAAACAGACCTGTAAGCAGCTGCAGTACATCCAAAATGCAGCAGCTAGAGTCCTGACAGGAACCAGGAAGTATGACCATATTAGTCCGGTCCTCAGGTCTCTGCACTGGCTTCCTGTGGCTCAAAGAATAGATTTTAAAACGGCTCTGCTTGTGTACAAGTCTCTCCATGGCCTTGCACCAGAATACATTAGTGACATGTTGGTGTCATATGAACCGGCCCGGACTCTGAGGAGCACAGGGACTGGCCTCCTGCTGGTGCCCAGAGTGAGAACCAAACATGGGGAGGCTGCGTTTCAGATCTATGCAGCTAAGATCTGGAACAATCTCCCTGAAAATGTGAGGGAGGCGTCTACTCTGTCAATGTTCAAATCCAGGTTAAAGACTGTTCTGTTTGCCTGTGCATACAACTGAAGGATTTTATCTCCATTTCTAATGCACTGCTGTCATTTATTTATTTTTTTAAATTTCTTGTGTAACTTTGAAAGTTTTAATGGTTTTATTCTTTTGTGTGATTTTATTGTTTTAATTGTGTTTTAATCTTTTGTGTGATTTTAATGTTTTAATTGTGATTCTGGTGTTTGTTTTATGTGATGATTTGTGATGTGGACTGTGAAGCGCTTTGTGTTGCCCTGTGTATGAAAGGCGCTCTACAAATAAACTTTGATGATGATGATGACATTTATTTCATGTCTTGACTACAGGAACATGTGTACCAGATTTCATGCCCGTACAACAATTTTGACCTCAAATCTCTCCCATACTAAAAACTTTGACCCCATCTGTAGGGGGCGCTATTGAGCCAAGTTCAATTATTTCACTTTCAAATGACCTAGACCCTAGAGTTAAACAATGTTAATATATTATATAATATTTAAAACATAATTGCACCTCTATTTCAGGCTAAACTTGGAACATTCATTGACATAGTTGTAAATTAAATCAGGTGAGAAAAAAAATATCAATACTAATTAAAGCCGCAAGCGGCGATGAAAGGCCTCGCCACTCTTGCAAATACCTCCCGGGCGCCAGTCCCACAAGTGTCACGCCAACGAATTGGCAGCCCAATCTGACCAGGATTACATACATAAAAGCTCATTAATATGAAAAAGTGCGCCCCTAGTGGTCACATCCGGGACATGCACCCTCTACGTAGAGTAGTATTTTGCTCGTACAGATGTAAAGGGGCGACAGTAGCTCAGTTGGTAGAGCATTTGCCTTAAGGCCTGAAGGTTGTGGGTTCAATTCCCACCTCTACACCTTCTCCACCGACTCCCACTGATGACTGCTGTCGTTGTGTCCTTGGGCAAGACACTTAACCCCACTTTGCCCAAAAGCCCCCACTGAAAGATCAAGGCTATGCTCACACTCAGAGAGCAGCCATCCTCCTGTGGACTCACCACCTGCAGAGGATCAGTGAGGGGCTGGTGCTATGAGACTTGGGTGGCATCTCTGATTGTCACCCCCCTGACCCAGAAATGGATTAAAGGGTAGAAAATGGATGGATGGATGGATAGATGTAAAGATTTGATTGTGCAACTTTGGTGAAGATTGGAAAAGTTTAGGTCAGAAGCCTTCCATAGGTGGCGCTGTAGAGTCATATTAGGTGTTTTCACACCATTACGCTCAGGCCATTACCAACTGTTAGCGATGTGAGTTTCAGCTCTGTAGGTCTGAGCCTGTGGTCAGGAGAGCATCAAACATGGAGGAAATTCCCCACCGCCTTGCATGAAAACGATGACAAAATGCTAACTTTTTTCAAATGATTGCATAACTTCAATCCATCCAGATGGAGAAATGACATGGTAGAAGTCTGTGCGATGAAAATCCAGGGACTAGTACGAAGCCAAAAATGCGACACCTTGAACTGCCTGTAGGTGGCGCTGTTGCACTCACAGTTATGTGTTGCATATCGTTGTGTTCAGAGTCATACGGTGTATTTGTGAATTCATTTCTAGCCTCATCGGACAAATATTTCTCCCCAAAAAGCTCATTCACATATTTTGAAGGCGCCCCCAGTGGTCAGGTGTGGGACTTACAACTTTTGCGTAATCTAATTTTTTGCTCGTCTCGGTCCAGAGAATACACTCAGTGATTTTCGGGCCGATCCGAGCACTAGTGCCCTATTACTTTCCGATAGGTGGCGCTAAAGAGCTCATATTGGGCAAATGATTTTAGTGTCATTGCGTTCAGGCCATAACCTTATATTACTGATGTGAGTCTCAGCTCTGTAGGTCTGAGCCTGTGGCCCTCAGGGCTCAGCAAAAATGGCCAAAACGAAGGCCTTATTCGCCATGGCGAGGGACAAAAACGGTGAAAAATTTCTAACTTTTTTTAATGATTGTATAACTTAAATCCGTCCAGATTGGGAAATGACGTGGTAGAACTTTGTGTGATGAAAAACCAGGGACTAGTTCGAAGTTAAAAATGAAAAGTTGAATTGGTGGCGAAACTTCAGGCCATCATGGCCGACTTCCTGTTGGTCCCAGAAATTGCTTAGACCGGTTTTTATGCTCGTCTCATAGAGATCTATCACTCATCCAAATTTCGTGTACCTACTCCAAAATATGCAATCCTGCCTCGTGCCTCCAATAGAAAGGGGAAATTTTGAATTTTTCAAGGGGGTGCTATTGATTCGCCTTTTGTCGGACAATCTCCAAACGTCCGTTTTATCAAATTTTTTGCTGAACCGGTTGTTTTAGACCCCCCATGTGCAGACTTTCGTGCATGTCTTCAGGGTCAAAAATCTAAAAGCGGAATAATAATATGAAACCGGCGAATAACAATAGGTCTCTTGGCGCGGCCTAATTAACTAAAATAATCAATGGCCATAAACAGAAATGTCTAATGGCTCCATCTTGTGGTGGCAGCAGATAAAGCATTCCTCCTGCAGAATAGTAATCTTGGTTATGATTACCTTCAAGGAGGTTTGTTTGCACGTTTATCTATGAGCAATGGACGGATGGAGGGGATCCAAACAACTGGAAGCAGAATTTATTTTTATTGAATGGGTACTTTCTAGGTTTACAGAACATTTAGTGTAATGTATGCATGTTTATGTCTTAAAAACGAGCTTATCTATAAACAACAAAGATGTATAAAAACAACATACATGTACAGTGTATGGCTTAAAAAGGTCAGAATTAGTTCAAATCTGTGGTACATTGCATTTCATATTTAAGGCACATTTGTGAACAATTAACAACGGCTTACTCCTGTTAACAAGCAGCTTGGATTTACAGCTTCAAAAAAAAAAATAAGCTTAAATCTAAATAGAAACAAAATAAACTTAGAGTCCCAGGGCATCTTTCTGAACACTGCAGCCCAGCAGAGCATTGGCAGCTTCCACACACTCAGAGAGGCCTGCAGCTGTAGACACAGAGGGAAAAGGGAAGACGCATCATTACATAATGCATCTTTCATCTATGAATAGAGAATATATGTTAACAAAAACACATGGATTTACCATTCTGTGAGCGCAGCCATGTGGCGGCTTTCATGACCAGCAGCTCCCACTCGTCCTTGGCATCAGCTTTCAGACCATGAAGCCAGACCAGAGCCACAATTGTGGCCCACACCTCTTTGTTTGCCTAAAGATAAACAATGCAAATTGAATAGTTAAAACAGCCAGAGCCAAGAGTAAACAATTGATTAAATTAAGTAATTAAGAGTAATTGAAGTCAAGCAACATGGGAGGGTGGGAGGGGGCCTTTAATTCCAACGGTCATGTGACCATGGAAATGTAATGGGTTTCTTTTCAATTCAACTATTGCAAGGTTTTCTTGTTAAATAATTTGTACATTTTTAAATATTTAAAAAAACATGTTATGCTTGTTATGCATTATTTGTACTCGCTGGAAAGTGACATAAACATTTAAAATGGTAGAATAATTGCAACTGTACCTGGCAGCCGCGCTACATACAGTAATAGTGACTCACCATTGAAGGTTGTTTGTCCTGGAGGTCTTGGCTCGTCTGGCTTAGGGTTTTGGCCAGTTCTGGCTCTAACTCCCAGCAGCCCGAAGCCTTCTGCAGACACACCAGCTCCAGCAGAGGGTCCCGCTGCGGTTTGGGCTTTGCAGGCATTGAAGACTCTTCTGCCATACATTCATCCGCCATCATGTCATCACAGTCAAAGGCGTTGCAGACCGCGCCTGCACAGAAACTACTTTGAGTATTCAATGTGGACAGAAACCAATAATATTAAAACACGTGGTCTGAAAAAAGTCCGGCTCTCACATTGCTTTAATCTTGAAAGAGACACACCAGTAAAATGTATCATGTGTCAAAAAAAAAAAAGATGGTAGAGGTAGTTTAATTTTGAGTTATTGAACCAATAATTAGTTGAGATTTCAAGTTTTCATGGGGTTCAAGTTAAGAAAAGGTACGGCTGACATTGGTGTATGACGTTTCTGTAATTAGATGAGTTTTTGATTGGTGCATGCATCATGGGTCCCAGAGGCTCATCCAGCTTTTAGCCTGCCACCGTTACTTTTCCACACTGAATACATACTCCTAAAACATATACATCTGCACCTCCATTAATTCACACCTGGCATCGGCGCAATGTTGACCCCGTACAAATATCCATTAACATAGTAGTTAATTGCTCATATGCATAACCAATTTTTTAACATTGCACAGCGTTTAGAAAGTAAGTAGTAAGTAAGTCATCTTTATTTATATACCACCTTTCACAGACCAGAGTCACAAAGCGTTTTATAATTGTGGGCATTTGTCACTCACTCCACACAGAGATGGGACAGGAGGCGCATGCCAGACCTATTGTACATGTTTTTAGTGGTAGGGGAAACCGGAGTACCCGGAGGAAACCGGAGTACCCAGAGGAAACCTACGCAAACACAGGGAGAACATGCAAACTCCACTCAGAAAGGCCCTGTTCTGACCTGGATTTGAACCCAGGACATCCTTGCTGAGAAGCGAGAGTGCTATCCACTCAGCCACCGAGCCTTAGGCCTTTTCCATGTATATCCCCAACATCTTTAACGTTTTTATCCTTTTGAAGCGCTATATAAATAAACTTAACATAAAAGTGTGTATTTCCATCCAACAAATAGGCCTATTACGCTGTTATGCACAATACGTGGCTTTGGTTATAGCATGACTACACATGTCATATCGTGCATCACACACTTCCTTTGGTGCTTTAGGGATCTGCTCTTGGATCGGTTTGTGCTCAGTTCTGCTGTAACATATGCGTTTTTAGACCCTGGTAGTACTGCTACGTTTTGTACAGAGAGACTCATGAATAGGCTTAATCTTACGGGACTGAAGATGGGAATTCTTTGTACAATGGGACAAGAGAAGTGGGTGGACAGCTACCTGTTGTCTGAGTTAGAAGTAGCTGGTCTGGACTTTGATAAGTTTTGTGATTTACCAGAGTACTATACACAAGGGAACATGCCTGTTCACAGAGGCAACATTGCTAGTACAAAAGTTCTTCGAAAATGGCCGCACTTGAGACACTTAAGTATTCCGGAAATCGATGCTGATGTAGATCTTTTAATAGGAACCAATGTACCTCAGGCACTGGAGCCATGGGAGGTGGTGCGTGCCATGGATGGAGGTGCATACGCCATCAAGACCATTCTTGGTTGGACTGTGAATGGCCCCCTCAGAGATGTTGGTCATAGGAAGGATCTAGAGCCTGAGGTTTCTGTAAATCGTATCTCTGTTGCGAGATTAGACAGTCTTTGGGAACAGCAGCTAAAGTTTGATTTTTCCGAAAGGCAACAAGAAGAGCTGGCACTCTCCAAAGAGGATGAACAGTGTTTGAAATCCGTTTCAGAGTCTGTAAAGCTGGTGGATGGCCACTACAGTATTGGGTTGCCAGTGAGATATCGACACCTCAATATGCCTAACAATAGGAGAGTTGCGGAACAGCGAATGGTGAATCTTAAAAGACGCCTGAGTAAAGATGCATCATTTCGTTTTGATTATGTTTCATTCATGACAGGAATGATTGCTAATGGTTACGCAGAGCGAGTTCCACCCGTGAATTATTATTGGAGTCTACTCTACTGAACATCAAGTAAGTCCCTATCTGCATGCATGTGAATGAATCTACACGTCAGCAACATAGCCCGTGTCTAGCCTGCCACTGCGTATTGCCTACAGTTTGGACATTTTTGTCACAGCCCTTCCAGCACCTCTGGCCACTTCAGCCCCTCCCTGAGAGGCTGGCCTTCCCTCCCCCTCCCTTTCTGTTGCAGGATGTGAACAGGTGTGCTGGAGGAACTCCACAGCTGAGTTCACTCTCATCATCAGCAGGAAGGATTCAAAAACCACTGCAGTGAGCTCAGCTGTGCCAGATCGTAAAACTCTGCCAGTCAGTGTCAAGTTTCTAGCGGTCTTTTTGACTAGCTCGAAATATAACATTCAAACCAGGTTTCTTTTTCCTTATTTTCCAGTTCTCCAGCCACCTGCTTTTCCAGCTCCATCCTGCCCTGCCCCTGCTCCATCCTGTCCCGGTTTTGCTCCGTCCCGCCCTGGATCTGCTCCGTCCTGCTCTGTCCTGCCCTGTCCTGCTCTGGCTCTACCCCATCTAGCTCCAAACCGGCTTAAATAAAATTCCATCTGAACCTCTTCAGAGTCTGCTCCTGGGTTCTTTTGCCTTGATCCGTTACAATTTTACGCCACAATATATGGGTTCTTGCATAATGGATTGTACACTAGTTTTACACGCACCCATTTGCATAGGAGCACACAGACGCATTCGGGATTTGAGCCTGCCGCAGGACTTGGGCATGGGCATGCTGCAGGACATCATCACTGTGAAGGAGACAATTGAGAGATCAACATCAGTGTACATTTTCCAAATCTCTCATTTTAGTTTGGATACCAACTTGGAAGAGGGACATTTCTTCTCAGCAGGGGACCTTGAATGGCCTCTCCACTGGTTTTGTTCACAGCAATGAAAGCGGTGAAAGAACTGCTGACTCCAGATTGAACACTGAGGTCAATTACTTTCTTCTTCGCAGCGTCAACTTTCTTGTGACTGGTGTCCTCCTTTTCTTGCTCCAAAGATCGAATGAGCGATCGTGCTGCCAGCCTGTGTACTGTGAGTCTGCAGATGAAGAAGAACCCCCATGTGTCAGATATTCAGGAGTTATATATTATTATTTTAAATAAAGGCGATCACAAGGTCAGTGTTGTACACGTGTCACCAAAATGTTTTCTCCTAATTTCTAAAAACCAGGAACTGAAAAGGGTTCCTAATAAAATAAAGGACCTTTAAAACAGCCTGTGACTGCGTGCTTAAACATAGAGCATTGGTCTGTGTCTTTTTTTTTTTTGTTTTTTTTTTTTGTCTTACCCTGTATCCTCCACTGGTTGGAGGCTAAAGTTGAGTTTGTTTTCAGTGGGATGTCCTGCCAGACTGTATTTGACAGTCACACAGCCCTCTGCTTCCTTTTTGCTCTAAAGCACATCACACACATTAGCCTATACTGCAAACACATTAGCCTAAACTCTAAACATGAAAGCACCTTTCCAGTCAGTTGGACGTAGAGCAGTGATCGTTGTCCCTGGAAAATGGATGTGAGAGGAGGGGACAGGACAGTGGCAGAGACACCTTTAGGAAGGTCCCAGTTCACCGAGATGTCAACTACTGCTGGCTGCATGGCGAAGCGCAAAGACTGAATCACCTGCAGAAGAAAGAAAGATAAGTTTCGTTTTTTCAGTTTCCTTTTTGGATCTGTAATGCCAAACACTCTCTTCACAATTATTGTTCATTCAGATCAGTTGATCAGTCTGAATATATTCCAAAACCGGATTAGAACCATTAGGTCTTATAGGCTGCAGTTTAGGACCTCGACCAGCAGGGTGCCTATTGAATCCATTTACCTTCTATGATCTATGGACATGGAACTTTGGCCCGGTGCATGATATTCGTGCCATAACACACATTTAAATCTGCTGGGTTTGGTGGTATTAATTGGATGGCTATACGAGTAGCTGTGCATGTAAATTTCAATAGGTTATATTTTTAATTGGTTGTATAATTAGTGTTAAACTAAACACAGAGGCACTAGGCCTAGGGGAACAGCCATACAATTTAAATCAATAATTTATGATATTTCTCCTCCGTCAGTCATATACAAAGTAAGCAGGTGTGGGACCACCCAGTTGTAGTTCTCTGGAGGGAGAACACCATTATTACAACTATTATACTAATACTACGCAGTAAAAAAAAAAAAAATTGAATGTAAATGTACATATATAAAGCGTAGCTTAATTATAAGTAAGTAAGTAAGTAAGTAATCTTTATTTATATACCGCCTTTCACAGACCAGAGTCACAAAGCGGTTTACAATTGTTATTTTTGGGCATTTGTCCTCTCGCTCCGCACAGAGATGGGAGCGGGGTCTATTAACATGACTATTAAACAACAGGGGGGCGATTGTGATAACTCATATCTGTTCAAGAGGAACCCAAAATCATCTTACTTTGGGCTGCATCCTGTCGTTGCCTGAGATGAACTGTGCGTGTCCTCCTCCTTCTTTTGCCAGACCATTGATAAGAGCAGTGCTGGCTCCTTCCCCGATCCCAAAGGAAAAACATCTGGGAGAAGTAAAAGATGTGTGACTTGTACATCACAGCAGTTCAACAGTTGGGTTAGGGTTTTTACCTGTGAGCGGCTGCATTAGACTTGACCAGGTTTGTGACTTCTTTGGTGTTTCCTACTTCTCCATCAGTAAAGACAAACAACTATAAAGCAAAGCAGTCAATCAGTCCAAGACACAATATTCAATGTATTTGTCATTTTAAGATAAAAAACAAATTGGAAGTTCTTCATGCCATGACTGTTGCAATCCAAGACTGTTGCAATCCAAGAAGTTTTTTTGTAGCAAAAGAATGCGTGAAATGCCAAGCACAAATTTCCATCCCGGGACAAGATAGTTCTCCTTGAAGATGCCATTTGACGCTTTTTGACTTTTCTCGACTGTAAACATGATTACAGTGCTATTTGACTTTCATACACATGCTCAAAGTAGTTTTTTCATTGATTCCTTCAAGCTTTAGTTAGAGGGCGACCTTTCCCTTTTAATCTCGAGAGGCAGTGAAACGCCCGGGGGTCCACATCATAATTTCAACATCAATGAAGGTGTGTGTGATGTATTTAAAATGGTTCTTAAATAATGTTGTCAAAACAGAGAAAATACAATACACTATAAATATTCTGGTTGTCAGTAATAATAATGATAATAGTTATAATACTACTACATACTGCTGCTAACAAGTACATATGTAATACAACTTATTATTGTTTGTACTAGAATACACTACTTTATACTTGTTTATTCTGTTAAAGATAGAGATTTTATACTTGTTTCGTTGTTGCTAGAGTTAGAGATTTTATTTTATTTTACTTAGTACAGTTATTGTTCACTTATCTTGTGCTGTGTGCTTCTCATTCCTACTGTTCTGTAACTTGTGATGCAACACTGAAATTTTCCCGCTGTGGGATGAATAAAGGATCTCTTAATCTTAATGATAAAATCCAAAAGGTGATAGACAAATCAAAACAGTGAATCAGCAGCACAACCTCTCAGTGACTAAAAGTGTTAGGATCATGTCAACTTGGAGAAAATGTGATAAAACTGATCTGGAAACCAGCGCTATTACCACAATAAAAGACGCTAACATGGAGCCCCGATCTGCAAGTACAGTGCTACTAACTCGCCGTATACCTCTGTAAACGTAATAATTAGGGTCTGATTCTGGATCAAGGACATGGGGCTCGATGTGTCGGATTGCCATCGTTGGAAAAAAGTTTATCCTCAAGGTGTGAAATTACTATGTACCGGCGAATCTGAAGAGTTTACTTTGGAGAAAAACAACTCAGTGTGAGGCTACGTCACCGTGCGGGCGGGGGGAGGCTTGTTTGGGTTGAGGTGACATCACTATGCAAGAGATGGCTATATAATAAGAGTGTTGTATTGTGTACCACATTAACTTAAATTATTATCACACACGTGCATAGGATGAACTGTGAAAGAGCACAATATGGCACCTTTAAAAAAAACAGACAAGCTGTGCCAAAGCCCCCGATGTCATCAGAGCCATGTGTTTATCTGTCTATGTACTGACAATGGACCTTGGACAGTAGTGGACAATACACAGAACTAAACAAAGCCCCATAGCAGTTTGAGTAGGTACTCTAGACCAGGGGTGCTCCCACTTTTTCAGCATGCGAGCTACTTATAAAATGATCAAGTCAAAATGATCTACCTACTATAAAAATGCAAAACATATATATATATTTCTAAATATATTGAGGATTCTTTATATCTACAATGTATGTTGATGTACATGCAAAACCGCATGATTTATGAAATAATTTGCATTTAAGCACCGCCTCTGGCGGTCATCCAGGATTCATAGAACCAAAGTTACATTCGTAACTTTCGTTCTGTAGCGGCACTGTCATAGTAGAAACTCAGGGTGAAGACGTGTTATTATAGATCCATGGTGAAGACATATGTTTACAAGCATTGACCCCAGTCCTCAGCCCTGGTTTGATCCTGGTTTAGCTCCTGTTTTGGTTGTTTTCGAGCGTCTGTGATCACTTTGCTGCTCTCTGATGTGGAGCGAGGATCGCTGCTGTGAACCGCTGTTAAGGCAGTATGATCCATGCTTTAGTGATCAGAGGTCGCACGTTTTGTTTGTTGTTGTTGTTGTTTTGGGGGCAAACTGTGCCGTGCAAAAACGCAAAACTCCGGTTATCTCTGTCCACACGCAAATGCATAAACGGATTAAAAAAATATATATATGTAATGCGATCTTCCACTACTACCTTTGCGATCGACTGGTAGATCGCGATCGACGTATTGAGCACCCCTGAGTTTTTATCTATGTACCTGTCTCGGCTGGTTGGGGATGCAGGCCTGGCTGTAAATGCGTTTCAACGGTGCCAAGATCTCTGTTCCTCCAAGGTTAGCCTTCATGTTTTCCACTTTTTTCAGAGCTTCCTCCATTGTTTTCTGACTATACTTCACACTTTCCCTACAGAAGAAGCACAAATAAAGCATGATTTTGCATCCGTGTCAGTGCTTAAGGCAGTGCTGAAAATACATGTTACAATATTTCAAATTACGGAAATATTTGTTCAAAGGTGGATCCAAAACTGTAGATGTTAAAGAAGCAGCCCATGGGTAAACTCTTGAGCAGCAGCAGTAGAGTGTCCTGAGAAAATAAAAACAGTATCAGGAGAAAAGTTCAAAGAGTTACTAAAACAACTCACTTGGCTTGCTAACCCGTGCACTGGCAATCCGAGACACTGATGTTCCCATATTACTCATATTACAGTCCATGCTTCCAGATCGATCCAACAGAAACACAAACTCTCCAGAGGACGATACCGATGACATTATGTCTTTGGGAAACTCTGGGTACAGGCTCAACATAAGCGCTGGGTCTCCCATCAACGAGCCTGAAATCAAAGGCCAGCTTTCTTAACCATTCAATAATAGACATATAGACAAAATATAATAACATCAATGGCCCTATTTTATGAGCAGGCAATGGGGAAGCATGCATAGGCCTACGGTGGCGAATACGGAATCAAACTAAAATCTAAATATTTCAGAATTCCTATCATCAAGAGGACATTAATTTATGGACACCAGGGATCTTTTCCAGACTTTGGACACTTCTATTGAAATGTCCATAATGAATAAGTTACAGTGGATTTAGGTAAGGTAAGTACACACTGTCCACAAGATCTTCTCTTGAATTTCATTATAATCACCACTATATATCAGGCAGAAGCACAATGTGCCTTTTTAAATGACCTTAAAAAGTTGGAAGATCACTGGAAACATTGACCATCATCTTACAGCTCTACAGCGCACATAAAACGTGATCCTTTAGAAGTCAATATCAATAATATTTATTCAAATATTCAAATATGGACTTTGCCTCTAGATGGCAGCACACTATTGAATGTATCCTTACCACGTTTGGCTGAGCCCTGAGCAGCCTCCACTACGGCTGATGGTTGGTGACTGTCAGAGTAATAAATGAGCAGCTCCACATCTCGGTCAAACTTATGTCCTGCTGCCAGCTTCACCTACAGACAACTTATGCTGTAAATCTCATTCACAGTTTTTAATTGTGTATTAAAAACTGTAGTACTTGTGACCCACATCTTTGACAGTGTATTTAAAAAGAATAATAAGCATGATTACATACATACATGCATAGCCTTCATGCTTCGTTTTACTTAAAATAATTAAAGAATGTCTAGTGTTAACATCTTCTATTATTATATTTCAAGAGCTTTTTTTTATCTACAAAGGCTTTAGTTGGTCATAACTGAGATTTACCGAGGCCTTGGTCTGATTTTCGTTGAGGTAATTGACTGGCTCCATGGTGCAGCTAGATTCAACTTTGGAAACTGGTCGCAGTGACTCCATTTGGGCAGAGAAGGTAAGATCATAAGGCACCAAAGATGATGGGACTGATGTCACTTTCACACTGCTGCCTTCTGTTCCTGTGAAAACCATGATCTATAATCATTATCAACATTAAGAAAAACAATTTGTATTTCTTTATTTGAACTTTATGACTAAAAGAGGAGTGACATTCTATGTGATGATTGGATTGCAAATAGATTTTATTTTACCAATTATTGACCCAATCTTGTCATACTCTCATAAGCTCTTATTTCCAGAGAAAATCTTGTTGAGCAGAATCCGTCATTGCAAAAAAAAAAAAATAAAGCAAGCACTCAACATCAAGAATCTCAGAAATGTCCTCAAAATAAAGCATTAATACATGCACGGTTTCCAAAAAAGCATAACATTTCTGGGTCATCATGCAACTTTTTTCTGCGGCCGCACATCCCACTTTGAGAAGTTTTGAAGAATTCAATTTCATTTACCGACAGAGTAACACTGCTGTACAATTATCATCTTTTTCTACTTTGTTGTGTTGGAGGACTGAAGTCTCACCTGCAGGTTGGTACCGCGGGTTGAGAACCGCTGGAAGACAAAACCTCAGCGCGTCATCAGCCTGCACATCCAGCTCAGTGACATACTCCAGCCGGATGGACGCACTCTCTCCTGGGGGCAGGCTGCCAACACTCATAGAGAATATATCTGGGCTCTGGTCACTCTCCTCCAATAGAAAGGCCTGTTGACCAGAGCTCAGCGCATCATCGTATTCCTCACGAGCCTGGAACAGGTTTTATCAGAGCAAAGGTTTGATGGTTATACTTTTATTCAACTACTGTACACAAAATGTCACACATCTTTACCATCTTTTCTTACCTGTTTCTTCTCCTTCACCTCAGCCACAATAAGTGTCTGTCCAACTTTGGCACTGAAATGGCAGACGGCAGCCTCACTGGACATGGGAAAGACAAACACAGCCTCTATGGGTTTCTCCTCTTTATTTTGGTAGAGCAAAGTTGAGACCACCGTAGCAACATGGTCCTTCACATCCACCTGCACATCCACGCTCTGCAGAGGCACTGACACCAACACACATTACGTTAGGGTTCAGACGACCAAATTATGAGATTTCATCCCATTATATTCTCAGAGAATATGAATGCTGTCAAAGGTAGTACAAAAAACAGTTTGACAAATGTGGCTCTATATTAAGATATGTGTCATACATTATAGTTAGACCCTTTGGATTAGCAAATGTTGATCAATGTGTGTTTTTTAAGTCGACAGCAATTAATATTATTCATACCAATTCATACTCTACGCTCAAGACAGATGGAGGACACTTCTCAGCCACACTATTAAATACAAACTTTATGTCGATTGACTTTCCCACCAGCAATTCATTCCAAGATATCTACCTGCTTGCTTCTCTGGCGTCATCAATCCACAGCAACACCTCTCCATTTCGTTTGTTTCTTTTTTACTTGGTGTGAAGAAGAAAACTGGAACAAGAAATACATGTTATCTTCAAATTGTCCTGTATTCCTTACTACACCAATGTGCTGTACAGTTGTCAAATCAAACAGTGTGGGATGATCTTGGACCAGTATGAACTCCACACTCAGAAAATAAAATAAAGTCTAAAAATTAGCCAATATGTTAATAGAGTTTACATGACTTATGGCTGGGGCTTTTGCTACTGGCTCCTAAGTATAAATTCCATTTACATTTTACTCAGCTGTAAAAGAGGACTACAGTAAGCGATTCTGCACGATAATAGATCCAATCCCCTGACACCAGCTATACCCTCCATTATTTTTACCAAAAAGAATGTAGGCAGACTTTGATCATGCAGAGATGGTTAAAACCTATAATTGGAGTAATTCATTCTCAGACAGATTCAGTCTTAGAGGGGGGAAAGAAGGCTGGTGTAGTAAGGGGTTAAGTGTTTATGGCAGGTTTTTATGATTGTCTAGATGACATGATGCCTTTTTGTGAAGAAAATTTGATGCATCATGAACACAATAATATAAATGTAGACTCAAAACTGTGATAAGGTAGGAGCATCATATTCATCATATCCTACGTTTGATACATAAGCATAATCTACATAAATATACATTACTTCCGCCCCTTGATGTCATAATTTACAACCAGGAAGTGAAAATCCAAATATAAAGATACGACCATAATAGATTCATGCCAAGGATGCATAATATTATGCAAATTATACACACATTTAGTATAATCTTGACTGTGTTTTGTGTAAAGTTGAACTTGTCATAAGCAATTTACTTAGAAACAGACAATTTGCAACTATAGACCAAACTTTCAAAGGTGATTTTAATAACAACTTATTCTTGTATAGCCCTAAATCACGACAGAAGTAATCTCAGAGGACTTAAAAAAAACCATTTACATCACCAACACAGATCAGAGAATCAACAGTTAAGACACAAAATATACACCAATGAATTGGCCCATGAATGTTGATAAATGTCCAGCATGTTAAAGTGTGTAATTTTAACACAAATACTAACATGTTTGTACAGGACTATAATAGCAGAAGAGTGTGGCTAATAAAACACGAAATGGAGAATTGAAAAAGCTGCGTCATGGTCCTACCTCTGTGTGGATCCCAAATGCAGCAGTGAGCAGGACCAGCAGGACTGAGGCTGTGTAGAGGCGTTGGCATTGCGGAAGAACACACCCACATCCTTGGAACACACCCACAAACCCACCCAGAAATGGCAAGCACTATTTGCGACGCACGGCAACTTCCGGTGACTCGCGTGACTCAGCAGCCAGAAGTCGTGACTCACGGTTAAAGACCTTATGACGGGTTTTTAAAAAAAAAAATAGTGGATATCAAAATTGCATGACAATGTCAATTTGAAAGAGATTCCGGCAAAAAAAAATCCTATATTTTATAAAAAGAACGTGTTTTTCATGAATTTAAGTTGTCTATGCTCTAACCTGTGTGTGACGTCATAGCGGGTTACGCCCATGCATTGAAAACCATGGATCTATGCCACAGGACTGCCTTTTCTCTCTTCTCTCCACTGATGCCCAACACAATACTGCACTCTACAGGTGACAATTTCTCATTACACATAAATTGCCGTTTTGAGTTTGAAAAAGTGTCCTAGATGGGATTTGAACCCAAGTATCTGGATTAGCAGTCCATCAACACAACCACTGGACTATCTCAGTGACAACAAAAAGATATATTTTAGTAGTTATCTTAAACTCGCTGTACACGGCCTTGTCATCTTGAATATCCGCGAAAGAAGAACGAATACCAAATTGTAAACAACTTACAGCATTGAAACGTACCCGTTCTGACGTCACCAAGGGCTGTGAAGTTTTTTCGTTTCTAAGGGCGTTGCTATGGGGTTATTTCGATTTGGGGGGATCAGACAAAAAAAACAACAACTGATTTTGAAACCTTTAGTAGTTCTCTTCTAATATAAAATGGTATTAAAACTGTATTTCTAAATAAATCAAACCCGTCATAAGGTCTTTAAAAATAACACAATTCTTTGCTTTTTAGGGGTATCTGGGAATTATTAATGAGCCAATATGGTTCTGGAGGCATTGTTTACAAGTAATCAGACACTCTACATCAGCTAGTATGTGTTTGTATAGCAGTCCATGTCCGTTAACCACTGACTCAGGCGCTGTGAGCCAGAAGTCGTGACTCACGGTTAAAAATAACACAATTCTTTGCTTATTAGGGGTATCTGGTGATGCTTAGGGGCGACAGTGGCTCAGACGGCAAAGCTTTGGTCTTTGGACCTAATGGTCGTGGGTTCGCACCCCCCACGACCACCTGCTCCCACTGATCTCTGCTGCTGTTATGTCCCTGGGCAAGACACTTAACCCCACTTTGCCTGAAGCCCCCTTCTGAAGCAACAGACCCAATCGTGGTATCTTATATACAGTCACTAGCAATTACTTTTTGGGGAGAAAAAGAATTTCTTGTAATGAGACCTCATGAGTATGAGTATGAGTACAAGTATGTGGTAACAGCACAATACTGATATCGATGTTGGTGCATCCTCAGAAAAATAAACAACTATAAGAAAAAAAACAGTATTCGCAGTGCAGGTTTACAGTAATAGTGCAAGTGGTTGAGAAAGTGATATTGGCATAATATATATTGAATGTATTTGCAGGGGTTACTGCATATTCTAATGAAAAATACTTTTCAGGGGTATTTATGAATTATGAATGAAACAATATTGTATCTGGGTGAACATTGTCCATGTTACCAGTGCCTTATACATACATACCAGCTGGTATGTGTTTGTATTACTCTTCATATATTGTTAACAAGTGACTTGCGAGACATGAGTCGCGACTCGTCTAATGACACCAGAGGGCGCTGTCTAATCTCATGTTGAAAATGAGTGCTCAGCTACAAAACTCTCAGTAGAGTCACTTGGTCTCACTGAGTGCAGAGCTCTGCGCTTGCATCATGCATCCAAAATGATTGAAGAGATTGAAACTGCAGTAAGTAAACATAAATATTGGTTCATTGAATAAAAGAAAATGCAATGAATATGGAATCACAAATCAACACCAACCGACTCTCCACAGGACATTCCACCATCAAAAGAGGAGCTGAAACCACTGGCAGCAAAAGAGGCAAGACTTCAGCTTGCAGAAGAAAAAGAGCCAGACTCAGCAAGCCATTGCCTGGCCAAGAGCGCCCAATGTTGTTTATTTCAAAGAGCAAATGGTCAAAGAAGGTATGAAATAGTAGCTATAGAATTGAAAACAAAGAAATTGTGTACAGCTCTGACATAAATATTTTGTGTTTAATTTTTTTCCCTAGTGCTTTCCATAACCACATAAAAAATGTGTCTTGGATTCAGTGCAACGACTGCCAGGAATGGTTGCACTTTGAATGTGCTAGAGTTATGGGTGACATGTCCAAAACCACGTTCTATTGTGGATGCAAGCTAGTAGTAAATGTGTAAGAGTTATTATAAACTTCAGCAATGTGCCTTGTGTATTTTAACATAAATGTCATGTTATTTTGATATTTTTTTAAACAGGAATGACATCTTTCTTTCAACAAAATGTGAACACTTTTTAACAGATGGAGAAATACTTGTAAAGCTCTAAAGGCAATATCTGCTTATAGTACATATTACATTAAAGGTAAAAGTGATTTTTATTTTTATTAGGAACTGAGGAAAAACCTTGAAAGTGGCAACGTGTTGTCCAACAGAATGTACATGTGGACAAACAGAGGATTTGATCCTATTCTTAAAGAAGAGTACCAAAGACATCTTCTTTCAATGCAAGAATCACTGGTATGCTAGCTTTGTACCCTATTCTGGTCAAAATACTTTGATTTTCACTGTATTTTTATTATTTATTTTTCAGATGGATGACATGTTTCAGCGACTTGAAAAACTGTAAGTAACTTTATCTACTTTTGAAGTAAAGGTTTGTGAAATGGTCCCTTTACCGTTTGATATTAGCACTGGCTAGGAATAATCTCTATTTTTGAAAGCATCTATGGTTGATGCATTTATCTATTTCTACACTATTTTTCACTCTAAAGCTTGGTTGCAGCTTGAGCAAAGGCATATTTCTAATCTGTGACTTCTGTCACTTTCAACATCTACTAAAATGCTACAATACCCATACTTTATCATTTTAACACATTTTAACAGTTGCTCAGTCTCCCAGACTAAAAAGTCAAAGTTTTTGTCTGTCAGATGTCTGAATACTTTCCATTTATTGCATTTGGTCACAGTTGTGGTTCTGGTTGTAGCAATAGCATCGGCAATAGACGATTTTTCATTGGCTGGTTCTTGTTCTGCAAATGTCTGTGTCCAATAGATCATCAGATGTCCAGAAGCTAGGGACAAACAAAAACAAAAGAAAGAATCATGAGTATCTCTCTCATTTAGCACTCATCAGTGGCATGATTTTAAAAATATAAACATCACTCCCCAGTTTTCTCGCTCAGGGTCCTCAGATCCTCAGGTCCTCAGGGTCCCCTGAGGGTGAGTCTCAGTCGTCATCAGGTCAGGTCATATTTCGAGAGATGTCATCTTGGACATCAGTAGGGTCCAAGCCATGGTTTTGGTCTCTCCAGATGCACATCGGATCTCCAGATACAGTCTTTTCACTTGAAGCGCACATCAGGTAATTTGCGATGCACTTCTGGTCAATGGTGGTGCAGTGTCACAGTTCCTGTACACAGCTTGTTATGCAGTAGTTACTCTCTATGGTAAAGTCATTTTGATTCTACTGTAACACAATTTCTATTCATGCTGTTGCTAATGTCCCTCAGACAAAAGCAAGCGCAATGATTCAGTTTACTTCTCTAATTTGTGTTTTTATCAGATGTAATCAATGTAATTACTTCACACAGTGCAAAATCAACAAATCAATAAATGTCAAGACAGAGGTCAATTAAGTCCATGACAATATAGAATTCAAATGAACATTTCTGGTCTCAAAAATACTGATTCAAGTGATAGACAATTAAAAATATTTGTTTACATTGGAGTAAACTTTTAATGCTTTTTTCTCATGTTCTGCTTTTTCATGTATCTATATGTAAATGTGTGTACGTGTAGATGTATGTAGGGTGTGTGTGCACTTGTTTTCAACTCCTGGTGGGTTCCATAACCTGAGATTCCACTCACGTCATGGGGACTGGTTTTACGTGGTGGACCGTGGTACCGTGGTACACCGGACCCCACTGGTCCAAGCTTAATAATCAATGGGTAATGCTTTTCTAACGGTCCTTATGCAGTCTCTGTAAAAATATGGAAAGGACCCCTGGAGGTTTACTTTCCTGAAAAAAGTGTGTTATGTGTCGGAACCCTGGTGGTGGGTTGCGGGATATCAAGGAGGGGCACACTGGGGCAATTTCAGTCCAGCAGGCTGGAGCCAATCATGGAGCAGCACAACAGAGGAAATCAGGTGTCAGGCTAGAAAAAGGTGCAAGTGTGTGGTTCATTAGGCTGCAAGAAATCATGGAGGAGCACACTGAAGCGCACGCTTACAAACCACTGGTAAGTGCTGACTACAAGTCATGACTTCAAATTGTTATATAGAATGATTACAAATTATTTGTTGTTTGTGCAGCTTAGTCAAGAGTCCCTAATTGATGAAGTCGACTCAGATTCTGACGATTTAACTGTCAAGAAGAAACCTGTAAAAAAGTATGGAAAAAGAAAAATCAAAAACACTTTTCTTCAAGACTCGGAAAGTGACGAACTATTCACTATATCCACTATTCCTGATTTGATCAGGAATAGTGGAAACCGTGAGCACAATTTTGAGGTTTTAAAGGCCGGCATTGGAACTTTAGTCCCAGCTAAACAGCCAAATTCCCCAGTTAAATCCAGTGAGTTTTTGCACTGTATAGACTGTGGGGCATTGCTTAAGCGAAAGTCGCTGTGGAGGCATGTGGCCAGGTGCCGGCTTTCACAGAAAGATGCCCAGGCTAAACCAGGTAGAAGTAGGGTCCAGTCCCTCTGCTCCCTAGCCCAGCCTGTACCGGAGGGCATCAGCAAAAAGCTGTGGTCTTTAATTTCGGCAATGCATCAGGATGAGGTCACGGGTGTTGTCAAAGCAGAAAAGGGGATTCTGAGACTCGGAGAGCACCTGTACTTAAAACACGGGCATGATAAGACTAAGCATGATTACATTAGGCAGAAA